CCTCGTCATTAGCCATGTGAGGTATAACAAGAGTTTTAAGTCCCTTTAAACTCCTTATTACTTGACTTAACTGTTCTGGGAAGTCTCTTACCCACACCCCTTTTAAATTAAGATGCTGCAACCCTACTCCACCTTCCATAATAACTTTCAGAATTTTATCGTAGTAAAATTGCGGAAACATTCCCGTGTCCAATTTACCGACATCTTCTCGAAGCAGCACTTCAAGGCAACTGAACCGGATACTTGCATCCAAATTCACCGAACTCAGAATGATTTTTAGCAAGTCCTGCAAAACTTCGTAAGTAGTTGGTGCTAAGTAATTCGAGACTACTCCGTAGTTCTTTCCCTCGTCGTCGGAGAGGGCGAAGATAAGTTTGTTGGAGATGATTTTCAAACATTGAAGTTTTAAGGATATAACTGGGAGTTTCGGCGACATCACTACGACGCCAAACAGCTGGTTGGGTCAGAAATAGAACTGATACTGAAACGAACTCGGTCGCCAACTGTCAGGGTTAGGTAAAAATAGTTTTGCGCGTTTATCTTTGTGCATTGTTTACATACACACTGAGAAAAACAGAGATTTATTTTTGATTTCTATTATAAAATTGAATTCATTGTGTGAATAAAACTATTTTATTTTTGATTTAACGCATATTTTAAGTAAGGTATAACAATATACAGAACTATTTAAAAAATACAGTATTACCTAAAACATAATAATTTGCAAATATAAAATATGATTTTCATAAACAGTAATAGGAAGATATCACAACTGACAGTATTTCAGAAAAGTTAGTCAGTACTTACATTTACGTCCCTTTTACCAGATTTATAAAATCGCTTAGTGCTATTTGTAGATATAAATATCATAGCTATATGGAACTGAGCAACAATATTACTGATTATTATAAAAATTAGGCTTTTAACTAACTAATTTTTAACGCTTAGATGTTCACTACAATAATCGTTTTCAGAAAATACCATGTGAATGTAATAATTTCTAGGTGGGAGAAACCGCAAGACTACTAAGTCTCAGGATAAACGATCATGAAATATACATCAAGATCTTCTTTCTATGCCGTTCCCATTAACGGAGGTTGGCGACCACATTTTTAAAAGCTTCTCTGTCTTTTGCAACGTGGAATAATTCGTCTACAGTCATGTTTCATCAAAGGTAGAAGAAGCGTAGGAAGACGTAAAATCTCGTGGCTACGCAATCTCCGTGAGTGGTTTGGGTGCAGTTCAATTGAACTATTCAGGCAAGTAACCAATAAAATTATAATTGCCAGAATGATTTCCAATCTCCGATAGGAGTGGAACTTGAAGAAGAAGAAGTCATGTTTGTCCAGTCTCGAATATTTCGCAGCCTTTCCTCTTTCTACCTATTCCCTTTTTGCCATCAACTCTACCCTGCATGATGACCTGCAGAAGACTATATTTATTATTTCTTAGTATGTGTCCAAGGTATGCAGTCTTGCGTACTTTTATCGTTCTCAGCAATTTTTTGACTCGACCCAATCTTCTCTGCACTTCCTCATTGGTGACCCTGGCAGTCCATGGGATTCTCAACATTCTCCGGTATATCCAAAGTTGAAAGGCTTTAATCTTTTTAACTATTTGCGCTTTTAGTGTCCAAGAACAGGAGCACGAAGTCATAATGACAGCCTATTGTTTTAACTGCTCTTGATAATCACTGAAAACAAATGTGCGAATGAGTTGTAACATTTGGATACAGGTTGTTGTCCTGTGCTCTCTACGGTACAAGAGAGCATTGCCCCTCCATTTAATTTCTTATTCTCCTGTTTTGTTTAGTTTCCTTATCGGGATGAGAGGATGCAATGAGAAACTGCACTGATTATCTGGCTTAAGTTCTTATTCTCCTGCTTGGTTTAGTTTCCTTATCGGGATGAGAGGATGAAACGAGAAACTGCACTGATTATCTGGCTTATCTGGTTCACATTTGACTCCAGAATAGACGAGTGGGCAGTCTTTGAGGTCGAGATCTATCCGGTTTCCGCAGTAAAAAGGTTAAGATCCTGGTATGCTCTTAAGAGATAATAGGGTAGGGTTTGCTTAGGCACGATAACCTCTGTCAGCTCTTATAGTAAAATAGCGATCTTCTTCTTATGATACCCTGTCCAATTAGTGGATGTTGGCGACAATTCTGGCATACCCCTCTCGATCTTAAGTAGCTCTAAAGAGTGCATGGGCATCGAGGTTTGTCCAATCCCTTACGTTTTTAAAGCTATGAGTATTTCTTTCTTCTGATGCCACGTTTTTCTTCTATATTCCCTTCCAGATAAGCAGTTTTTATTATTGGCAGCAATTCTCGTTTTCTGCCCATTTGATCTAATACTTCGACATTTGTTGTGTGATCACTGCAGGGAATTATAAGTAGTCTTCCAAGTACCCACGTTTTAAAGGCCTCCAATCTTCATCACATTGGCTTTTATGGTACAGGTTGCGACACCATATAGCAGTATGTAGTAAATGTAACATTTTACAAAGTGATATCGAAGCGTCAAGTAAAGGATGCTGTTGATTAGCAAAGTTCTCATATTAGTAAATGCTGTTCTGGCTTGCTCAATTTTGCTACGCATCACTATGTCTGTATCTAGATCTTCAGTTATTAAACTACCGAGATCTCTGAACTTGGAAAACTTTTAGTTGTTCTTATTGTTTACTCTTATATTTAATTGCATACTAATCGTGTTCTACTAACCACCATTACCTTCGTCTTATCTATATTAATATTTAAGCCAAGTCGTTCTCCTTCAGTATTTATTCTATCTATTATTGGTCATTGAAACGCTTCTTGGCTATCAGCTATTATGACTGTATCATCAGTATAGCGCATATTACTAAAAGTCTGTATATTGATTTTGATTCCATCTTCAGGATCACTTAAGGCTCTATCGAAAATCGTTTCAGAGTAAAGATTAAAAAGGAGGATTGATAGAACACAACCCTCTCGTACACGTTTTTTGATTGAGAAATATGATGTAGATTGCAAAATGTAGAATAATGTAGAATACATAAATCTTGAAATTTCTTGTCTTGATCTCGAACTCTCCAATCTTAAAATTTGGCAATACCGATGTCAATAATTAATATGTACATTAACATTATTACATTTATTTCATTATGATTAAATGCAGAGTGAATAAAAATTATGCAGAGTGAATCTTAATAACTGCTTAGCACTTTTCATACCTCTTATGGATGGTAAATACTGACTGGACCATTAATTACTAATTGATCTATTAGATATGAAATTAAGAAAATCTCCAGGCCCAGGCGAAATACATCCAGAGTTGATTAGATATGGATCGTCAAAACTGCTTGAAATGATCGGAAAATTATTCGAAAGATGCTTAAATGGAGAAGAAGTTCCAGAAGAATGGAGACAATCTTATATATCTCCAATACACAAAAAAGGCACAAAAACGGATCCTAAAAACTATAGAGGGATCGCAGTGATTGCTACTATAGGCCGAATATATTCAAAAGTACTGAGAAACCTGATAGAAAATGATATTAAAGGTAAACAACTTGAAGAACAAGTGGGATTTAGGGCCGGACGCTCCTTATGGATAATATTTTCACATTAAAAATTGCAGCGCAGAAAAAAAAACGAGTGCAGAGAAATAGAGAAACCCATATAGCTTTAATAGACCTGAAAAAAGCATATGATAGTGTACCGATCTCCCACCTATGGATAGAAATGGATAACTTGAAAATAAACCCAATTCTTATTAACGCCACTCAAAAATACTACGAACAAAACTTTACAAGAATTAAAATGGGACAAGAAATCAAGAAACCTGGTGGCTCAGGCATTTTAACCTAGCGATTTTAAACCTGATGATGGACTGTTTAGTCCGAAAACGTTTGTTTTTTTTTATGTAGCCCTTTTAAGTGTTTTTAAATAAATATACCCACTTACGAAGACTAACTTCTTTTTTTTTTATTAAAAACATTCACCATTAATCATCTGGAGGCCTTTGAAATGTGGCTGCACAGACGTATACTAAAAATTCCATGGACGGCTATGCTGACAAATGTGGCAGTCCTTGATAGAGCAAATCCTGCTCGCGAGCTGCTTGATAACATCAAATGTAGAAAGATGGCCTATTTTGGACACGTAGTAAGGGGTGACCGATATAATATTCTTCAACTTATTATGATGGGTAAAATCGAACAACGCAGAGGAATTGGTATAAAGCAGGCCTCTTGGTTGAAGAATACCAGGGATTGGACAGGAATAAGGAAGCTAAGCAACTCTTTAGAATAGCTCGAGACAGACAGTTTCACCATATTAATCGCCAACGTCAAGGGGACTTGATAGGGCACGTAAAGAAGAAGATATTCAATGTCCTGCTATTTTATGTTTTTATTTGAACCTTTTAAAAATTTTTTTTTAAAAATCTCTTATTTAAAATCATTATCTTTTGTTTGTGAATTTTTTATATATCTAGTGTTTTTTGTTTGTAGGAATTTTATTATTTTGTAAATTTTACCTAATACGTGGTCAAATTTAATCAAGTGGTAAAAACTGCTGTTAATTATGAAAATTTAGATAGTCAACTAAGATATTTAAAAAAATAAATTCGTGTTAGAAATGTCTGTTGGGTTGTTCCAATCACTTTTAAATGGGGTCAATAGTACTTCACTATACACACATTTTTACCTAGGTGACGTTGGGTTAAATTTTTGGTATATTCATTTTGCAGTTATTTGTGTCTATACAAACAGTAACTTGAAAAAAATATAATAACACTTATATTTTTTGTTTGATAGCGTTTAATGTAAATATATTATCTTAATCTAATATTTACCGTACATATATTTATTTAGACACATGCATCTGCTTAAATTGTGTTGCATTGGTTTACAAAAAAAAAACAAAAATATTATTTTACTTTTTACTAAAATAAATAATTTTACCATTATAAATTATCAATTGTTTTACGGAACAAATCAGTAGAAACAGTTTCAACATGAGGCAAGCAACCGATTTGCTTCTCTTTTGTATTCTTGTTTTTCTTAACACTCTCTATAAAGAAGCTGAAGCCCAAGTTTGTGGGGTAGTACCAACGTCTTGTCCGCCAGAAACTGACGAATACAGGACTTTCACTGGAGAATGCAATAACAAAATATATCCTTGGTACGGAACTATCTATTCCGAGTATGATAACACAACGCAATTAAATGTCGGATATGGTGAGTATATATTTCTTATATCAATGTATTCGTTCTTTCTATACTCTTAAATAATTAATATATTTAAAAAAATTATTATATAATTAAATTATACATCATGTATAAAAATATAACTTGCATTTACAGTGGTTACTCAAAAATATCAATAATAATTATAGTCTACAAGCCTATGGGAGATTATTAATCTAAAAACCCTATCGCAAGTAGGTATAGAGGCAAAAAATCAGTTTATCAAGAATCTGTACATCGTAAAAAAAATGTTTCAAATAAAAAATGTAGCTGAGATAATTTTAAACAAAAATGTTCATAAGCATTTTTTGTATAGAATGAACCATTCTCTTAGAGACAACGCTTGAAGTGACCGTCGATTTTTTATGTCAGTTTTTTGCGTGAAATCAATGTTCAATAAAATTTGTATCAGCTCAACGGTGAAAATTCTCAAAATTATTCAGAAGGATAAGAGAGGGTTAAGATAAGGATAAGAAGGATAAGATGAAAATCTAAGAGAGTTAGAATGAGTTAGCAACGACTAAGACGACTAGAGCATATACCGGGTGGTCCCATAAGTCGATCTCTTGGCTATATATCAGAAACTATTCATGTTATAACTTTGGGAGAAAAATTCCTTTGTAAATTTGTAAACGTGGCCAAGAGAAATCGCTAGAAATACCTTTCAAGTTTTTGGGTTAACCGCTAGGGGGCGTAACCTGTGAAGAAAAATTTGAAAACCAGTTTTTTGTAAAATATGCCCAATTATACCAAGTGTTAAATAAGTAAACTAGAAAGAGGTCTAAATTCCATACAAAGTTGTTTGAGTTCTTTTTTTTTGTATTTCTTCAAATGAAGGGAGGGGGAGAGTGGGAAGTATTTGTGGATAAATACCTATAACTTTGGTTTGTATTAACCGCTTTTAATTAAATTAATGTCATTAGAAACAGTGTGAACAATTTAATATAAATCTACTGTAAAACAATTGCATTTAGTTTTAATTGTTATGGGTAGAGGGTACTTTCGAATAGAAAAAATTAAAATTTGTTTTTCTTCAAAGTGTTTAATGGAAACACGTATTTATTGTAAATTATAACGAATCTGGATTAAATTATAGCTTTTCGAATACGAGACTATAATTGTCGAACTCGAGATATGAATAAAAACGCATACACATAAGTAAGCATAGTATTGACTCACCCTTTATTATAACTTAAAATTAAATATGGGAAAGATCATACAAATATCTTGATCATTAAAACTTAATGTCCAATTAAATGTTCAAATTATTTTCCATCGTTGTCCACACAAAGATGTAATCTTTCGCGCGTAGATATAACAGCTGCTTCAATCTCAGCTATTAATTTAATGCGTTTATAATGTGATATTTCATGTCGTCTAGCGTGGTTGGTTGAGTTTGGTACACTAAGTCCTTCAACCTTCCCCACAGATAATACTCTAGACATGTAAATTATGGAGATCTAGCTGGCCATGAAAATATACCTCCCCTTTCAATCCATTTAATCAGAAAACTTGCATACAAATGATCTCGAACTCATCTATAAGAGTGCGCAGAACACCCATCATGTTGTAATATCATATCTCTTTTTGTTTGCAAGAAAATATATTCCAATAAAACAGGCAGCTGATTTTCCAGAAAATCCAAATCTGTCAAAGTACAAATTCGTCATTTAAAGTTCTATCAAAGAAATATGGATCTACGATCTTTCCATCAACTATACTACACCAAACATTAAGACTCCATCTACCTTGAACCTGCACCTCATGTATGCAGTGCGGATTTTCTTCAGCCCAATATTGCATATTATGCAGATTATCCCCACCCGCACTATTAAACGTAGTCTCGTCTGTCTACAAAATATTTGACATGATATGCGGTTGTTCTTCTAGCAGTCCCAACATCAAATTGCAATAATCCAGGCTTGCATAAAAATATCTCTTATGTAAAGCTTGGTGGAGAACTACATGATAAAGATGTACTCTAAAGAACAGAACAACAAATATTGGTGAATAAGAAACCACGATATTTACTAAAAATCAAAAAATCTTGAAAAATCCACAATTGTTTCACAAGATAAATCGTGTATAAGTATTTTTAAGAAACGGATAAAAGGATAAAAGCACCGTGTTGTCGTTTTTATCGGAATATTAAAATAACAGCTAAATCTAAAGTTTAAAGAGAATTTCAAGTTTCTGACCTAAACGTTCAATTTATAATATGAAAAACCAACCTGTGATGTTTTAAAATCCTTAGAACAGAAGTTTTGGGTATGTTTAATTGTATAGAGATTTGCCGACTACTTATATGTGGATTCTGTTGAATTAAAGCAAGAACATTGATTGAATTATCTTTGGTCATACCTCGACTACGTCGTTTAAAACAAGGACGATGAAAACTAATAACTTCAGCAGAAGCTAATAACATGCGGTTTGCGCCATTTTGTTAAGAATTTAATCAAATTTCATTATAATTTACAATAAATAGCTATTTCCATTAAACGTTTTGAAGGAAAACAAATTCTATTTTTTTCTATTCGAAAGTACCCTCTACCTACGACAATTAAAACGAAATGCAATTATTTTATAGTAGATGTAAATTAATGCATCAACACTCTTTCTAATAAAATAAATTTTGGTAAAATTGGTTGATCCAAACCAAAGTTATAGGTATTTATCCACAAATACTTTCCCACTCTCCCTCACTCTTTATTTGAAAAAATAAAAAAAGTACTTAAACAACTTTGTGCAGAATTTAGGCTTCTTTTTAGCTAACTTATTTAACACTTTGTATAATTGGGCATATTTCCCAAAAAACTGGTTTTCAAAGTTTTCTTCACAGGTTACGCCCCCTAGCGGTTAACCCAGAAACTTGAAAGTTATTACCAGTGATTTCTCTTGGCCACTTTTACGAAGGAATTTTTTCTACTAAAGTTATAACATGAATAACTGCTGACATAGAGCCGAAAGATCGGCTTATTGGACCACCCGGCACATAGAATGACAGAAGACAGACTACCGAAAATTCTGCAGTCGTGTACAATAAGAGGTTGTCAGAGAAAAGTTCAGTTCTAAGCAATGTGGAAAATTGTTATAGAAGATAGTCAAATAACGATTTAAGGTCACAAATTGGAGTGTAAAAGCAATAGACAAAAAGGGATGGAGGAGAACGATCAATTAAGCCATGGACCTACTAGGCTCGATGCGCTATTATAATTATTATTATAAAAAATTTTATGTAGATCTTACTATTTCTTCGTTGTTCTGAAGCAATTTTTTGTGGCATTTTAAATTAATTACTATTTAAACTGGAGTAAGCCACGATTAAAGGTTAAAGTACGTTTATTTTATTTTCTTTTATTCTATGTTTATTTTCTTCGATTTTTATAAAGTGGGTTCATCTTACAATATTTTACAATCTTTTAGTCTTATAATATATGTTTTTTTATAATTTGTTCTCTAATCTAAACTAATGTACAACAAAACTACTATTTGTAGGTCCACAGTCCATGCCAAGAGCCAAAAGTGGTAAACCACTTCCAAATCCAAGAGAAATACGTGAAAAATGTCTTCCAGATGATCTACAGTTCCAACAAGAACCATACACAACCCGTAGTTTTTCTGGATATGCTCAATTTTTGGCCCACGATATGAGCAGTGCTTTTTTTGCCAGTACGTATATTTCTTCGTTTCATATTAAAGTGCGTTTAAATCTGGTAAATACATAAGATCAATCAGGACATTAACAGCTTCCATAATTTAGTTACTGAATGGTATATAGAATCTGTATTATCGACTGTAATACGATTTATTAAAATACCAGTTTATGCAGCTGCTATGTATATTACGTAGACTTGGGCAAATGTCAAAAAAAAGTGAAAAATATGCGCATAAATATTCATCAAATATGTATTTTCTTTAGAAAATATTCATTAAAAGTGCATTTTTTTAGAAAATATGATTACTGTAAAAGGAAACATATTTATATTTAATAACATAGGCCTACATTTTTTTTCATGAAAAAGTGTATTAAGTTTAAAAGGTGTCCTATAGTAAATGGGTTGTGCTGATCACGAATCTGTACTTAGTTTTTTTTTCAGCATATCAGGTTTTCAAGAAAAGTGTGTTTGAATTTTTTTCTAGAAACTGCATAAAATATATAAAATACGACAATAATTTACATAAAAAGCTTAAGGAGGCTGCTGGAATATACAGAAAACGAAGACCAACTACCATAGTTAATCAGGATAACCAGATAGTGCTGGGTGAAAAGGAGAAAATTGATATATGGGAAAATTATATCCAGGAGCTCTTCCATGACGAAAGACCCATGAGTGAAGTTTATACAGACGACCAGCTGTTTGGCCCTTCAATCACCAAATAGGAGATAGAAAAAGCAATATTAAATTCAAAAAACAATGAAGCACCTGGACCAGATGAGATCCCGGCAGAAATACTCAAATTACTAGATGAAAGAGGAATTTCAGCACTACACAAAATATTTCATTTAATTTATGAAACTGGCTGCTATCCTCAGCAGTGGTTATGCTCTACCTTTATTCCCCTGCCCAAGAAAGTCAATGCAAAAATATGTGAGGATCACAGACTCATTAGCCTGATGAGTCATACTTTAAAGATATTTTTAAAAATATTGCATCAAAGATTATACAAAAAATGTGAATGGGATATCAGTGATTCCCAGTTCGGGTTTAGGCAAGGTTTAGGAACACGAGAAGCAACAGTAGCAACACCGGTGCTGGTCCAAAATTGTTACGATCAGAGGAAGGTTGTGTTCCTATGATTTTTAGATTACCAAAAAGCGTTTGATCGTGTGCAACACCACAAGTTAATGCAGATTCTCAAGAAAGTTAATATAGACCAAAAAGACATAAGATGCATTGAAAACTTGTACTGGCATCAAACGGCACAGTTAAAAATAGACAATTCTATATCCAAACCCATACATATAAGAAGAGGCGTTCGACAGGGATGTGTGCTTTCCCCTCTTTTACTTAACATTTATTCGGAAGCCATATTTCAAGAGTCTTTTGAGGATACAGAGATGGGAATCAAGGTGAATTGAGTATTGATCAACAACATACGATATGCTGATGATGGTGTCTTAATTTGTGACAACATAGTCGATCTTCAACAACTTGTCACTTTAATCGGAGAATACAGTAAGCGAATGGGATTAGAGATTAATACCAAAACGACCGAATTCATGATCATCTCCAGAAACTTGGATGCACTTGAAAACTCCACCATAACACTGAATACTAAATCCATTGAAAGAGTGAGTAAATTTAAATACCTGGGATCGTGGCTTTTTGAAGACTGGGCATCGGACAGGGAAGTAAAATGTTGCATTGACAAGCTTTTGTAAAATTCAAGAAGTTACTGACTTGTTTACAGTTCGATCTTCAACTGAGACTAAGGTTTACTAAGTGCTACGTATGGTCAGTGCTGCTATATGGCGTAGAGGGCTGGACACTCGAAACGAGGAATATAAACAGATTAGAAGCTTTCGAAATGTGGCTTTATCGCCGTATCCTAAAAATACCATGGACAGCGAAAATCACAAATATAGATATCCTTAAAAGAATAAACCAAGAACGCCAACTCTTCGAAACCATTAAGAAAAGGAAAACGGCGTATCTAAGTCACATCATGCGAAATGAAAAATACCAGTTCCTCAAACTTATAATCGAGGGTAAAATTGAAGGCAAGAGAGGAATGGGACGCAAGAAAATGTCCTGTCTCCGAAACATAAGGCAATGGACAGGGATTAACGACATACAATCTCTGATACATATTGCAAGAAATGGAGAATTAATGGAAAATGTGATCGCTAACATCCAGTAGTAGATTTGCATCCGAAGAAGAAGAAGCATAAAATACTGACAAAATATATTGCACGTAAAAAACAAAAGTGACTTTATGCCAAATTTACAATTTTACAGTAGAGCATTTTTTAATTTCGGGGATAAAATTAATAAGATAATTTTGTTTAAAAAAACAATTTATGGCATTTAACAATATATGGCAGTTTTTTTCCTAATATTAGTCTTGATTTTCAATGTTTTTAATGGCTAAATACATCACCTGGTGAAATATTCTGACATAATATGTCACAAGCTAAGCTAAAACTGATTTTTGTTTTTAGTGTCATTTTTGTTTTGCATGATTTGGAAAATATTTACTAATTGTGAAATGTTTTGCTTATTTATTTTGAGGAGTACACTGTAAAATAAAAGTTAAAAAAACTTTTTTTTTTTTAATTTTTAATAGAACAAATTATAAACCAAACTACTAAATTGTGAACAGAAGTGGTTAACAAACAGAAAATTAAAATTCTAAGAAATATTGTTTTTACAATAAGTTTAATTATCTTATTCTCTTAAAATGTGATTATAATAGGAATTATAAAAATTGAGTAATGAGATTGGCGGTAATAAGGCTTTGGATATCCTTTTAATTGCATTCTGATATTACAATTTTATTAAAATATAACGGACTTAATTTTTGCTCGTCACGTGGAAGTTTCGCTGTAGAGCAATTTCTTATAGTCGTCAAACAAGGATTTTTTGTAAAATATTTTTTTTTATTTACAAATTCGCATCAACCCGAAGGTTATTAGCGAGAATCAAATTTACAATATTAAATATATCATATATTAACAAAATGTATAGCTTTTAAGGAGTTTAACATATTTGTGAATGAACAATTTGCACCAAGAGCTTTCTCCAAGTTTATTGAGATACCACAAGTAATTCTTGCTGTGGAGAAAACTGGACAGTCTACAACAACATGTTTCACCGAGAGTTTAACGTTACACTGCCCACATTAGGTTCGGATTCTTTAGTAACTAAAAACTTGTGCGTGGCACTAGTACGACCTAATCTAAGACGAGCTATTGTCACTTGATCTCTTCTTTTAGTGGGGAAATATCTCCATGGTTTAATGTTCGGTTTAATATTCCTAAGATTGGACACTGAAAATTCCCACCGGTTTTGCCACTCACTTAGGATTCGCGATTTGATAACACTTGAAACATCACTAGCTATTTCACAATAATAGAGTCAGCTGAGTTGACGGCTTCACGCGCACACTTATCTGCTTCTTCATTGCCTCTAATACCAATATTTGATGGGATCCAAATAAAGATTACCTCCTTATTACAATTTTCTATCTCTATCAGATTTTGTTTTATTTTTTCAAGAATATGACTCTTTGGTATATTCTTCCTATAGATTGTAGTGAGTTTAGTGAATCAGTCAAAATTATATATTTCTGATTTGGTGAGGATATAATACATGTGAGTGCCTCGTATATGGCATATAATTTTGCATTAAGAGTTTTATAGTGTATTGGCAACTTATATTTTTGACACATATTAGAGGATATAACTGCTGCTCCCACGCCATCTGTTGATTTTGAAGCATCTGTATAAATTTGAGAGAAATTTGTATATTTTGATAATAAGTTTTGCAGATTTTGATGTATTATTCTATGGTTTGTAGTGTGTTTGTCCAATGATGTTAGGGTAATTATTATTTTAGGTACTCCCAAAGTACATGGTGCAGCAGGTTCAAAACTAAGCAGGTCAAGCAAGGAGGTAAGGTGGTGTTCAGAGATGAGAGATCTATTTTGATTCGGTGGTAGAAAGGTTTATGTAGACGTGGTTTATTGGAGAAAAATGTTGATAATCGGTTAAGGTAATTATATCTGAAGGTGTGGTTGTTAGGATTTGCATTTGATTTAATTGCATAGGTTATTTTTAAGTTCATTCTTCTGTGATATAGTAATGGTTCAGCTGTTTCACAATACAGGCTTTCTATTGGTGTGGTTCTGTAAGCTACCAAGACAATAAGGTGTGCAGTATTGTGTATTGAATCTAAAATTTTAAGGGAAGACTCAGTAGCCGATGAGTATGCTATCGCGCCATAGTCTAATTTAGATCTGATTAGAGTTCTGTAGAGAGAGAGCATAGTTTGTCTATCTGCCCCCCAGTCTTTTTTAGATAGTGTTTTAAGGGTATTAAGTCTTGCTTGGCATTCGATTGCCAATTTTTTAATATGTTCTTTCCAATTTAAAAGTTGGTCGAATGTCATTCCTAAAAATTTTACATAATTTTTTCGAACTAGGGGCTTGTTATATAGTGAGAGTGGAGAGTGATTAGGGTAGCTTTTCTTTGTGAATAATATAAATTGTGTTTTTTCTGTAGAAAATTGAAATCCACAATTTTGCGACCATTCATCTAGTTGATGTAAAAACGTTTGTAGCATACTGGTGATGTTTTTCATATTTTGGCTTCTCGCATAGATAACAAGGTCGTCTGCGTATAAGAAACCTTTTAGTGGTGAGTTCATATTGGCTAGGACATCATTTATTGCTACTAAAAAAAGTGTAGGACTTAAAACTGATCCTTGAGGACTTCCATTAGTTTTAAGGTGGAATGATCGATTGGTTAAGAAATTATTAATGAAAGCTAGGCAGTGCCCTTTGATATTTAAATTATGTAATTACTATTTATAACTGGGAATAAGCCACATTAAAGATAAAAATACATTTATTGACGTTTCAATTTCCAATTCGGAAATCGTTCTCAAAATACAAATAGTAAATTAAACAAATTTTGTTTTTTGTTACATAGTGAAAAAATTCTTCTGATAATTTAATTTTATCAGAAGAATTTTTTCACTATGTAACAAAA